AAAAATCAATGAAACCAAGAGCTGGTTCTTTGAAAAGGTAAATAAGATTGATGCACCTTTAGCCAGACTCACTAAGAAACAAAGAGAGAGGACCCAAATAAATAAAATCAGAAATGAAAGAGGCGATATAACAACTGACCCAACAGAAATACAAAGGATTGTAAGAAAATATTATGAGCAACTATATGCCAACAAATTGGACAACATAGGGGAAATGGACAAATTCCTAGAAGCATACAACCTTCCAAAACTGAATTAAGAAGAGGCAGAAAACCTGAATAGGCTGATAACAACTAATGAAATTGAAGCAGTAATCAAAAAACTCCCAGCAAACAAAAGTCCTGGACGAGATGGATTTGCAGGCGAGTTTTACCAAACATTCAAAGAAGAATTAACACCTATTCTATTCAAACTATTCCAGAAAATTCAAGAGGAGGGAAAACTCCCAAACTCTTTTTATGAGGCCAGCATCATCCTAATCCCAAAACCAGATAAAGATACTACAAAGAAAGAAAATTACAGGCCAATATCCCTGATGAACATAGATGCTAAAATCCTCACTAAAATACTAGCAAACCGGATCCAGCAATACATGAAAAAGATCACACATCATCACCAAGTGGTATTTATTCCAGGGATGCAAAGCTGGTACAACATCTGCAAATCAATAAATGTGATACATCACATAAACAAAATGAAGGACAAAAATCATATGATCATATCAATAGACGCAGAAAAAGCATTTGACAAAATCCAGCACCCGCTTCTGGTAAAAACTCTCAGCAAAGTGGGACTAGAGGGATCATACCTCAACATCATAAAGGCCATATACGACAGACCTACAGCCAACATCATACTCAATGGGCAAAAACTAAAACCATTTCCATTAAAAACAGGAACAAGACAGGGATGTCCACTTTCACCACTCTTATTCAACATAGTACTGGAAGTCCTCGACACAGCCATCAGACAGGAAGAAAACATAAAAGGTATCCAAATTGGAAAGGAGGAAGTAAAACTGTCATTATTTGCAGATGACATGATATTGTACATAGAAAACCCTAAAGACTCCATCAAAGTACTACTAGATTTGATAAACGAATTTGGCAAGGTAGCTGGATACAAAATCAACATCCGGAAATCAATGGCATTCTTATACACCAACAATGAACTTTCAGAGAGAGAAACTAAAAAAGCAATACCATTTACCATTGCAACTAAAAAAATAAGATACCTAGGAATAAACTTAACCAAGGATGTAAAAGACCTGTACTCAGAAAACTACGTGACACTGAAAAAAGAAATAGAGGAAGATTTAAACAAGTGGAAGAATATACCATGCTCATGGATTGGAAGAATTAATATCATTAAAATGTCCATACTACCCAAAGCAATTTATAGATTCAATGCAATTCCTATTAAAATACCAACAGCATATTTCACAGACCTAGAACAAACATTTCGAAAATTTATATGGAACCAAAAAAGACCCCGAATAGCTGCAGCCATCTTGAGAAAAAAGAACAGAGTGGGAGGGATCACATTACCAGACTTCAAACTGTATTACAAAGCCACTGTAATCAAAACGGCCTGGTATTGGTACAACAACAGGCATATAGATCAATGGAACAGAACAGAGACCCCAGAAATAGACCCACGCCATTATGGTCAGTTAATATTTGACAAAGGAGGCAAGAGTATCCAATGGAGTAAAGACAGTCTCTTCAATAAGTGGTGCTGGGAAAATTGGACAGATACATGCAAAAGAATGAAACTAGACCACCAACTTTCACCATACACAAAAATAAACTCAAAATGGATAAAAGACTTAAATGTAAGTCACGAAACCATAAAAATCCTGGAAGAAAACATAGGCAGTAAAGTCACAGACATCCCACGTAGTGGACTTTTCACTGATACATCTCCTAGGGCAAGAGAAACAAAGGAAAAAATAAACATATGGGACTACATCAAACTAAAAAGCTTCTGCACAGCAAAAGAAAACAGCCTCAAAATACAAAGGAACCCCACGGTCTGGGAAAACATATTTGCCAAGGATGAATCTGATAAGGGGCTAATTTCCAAAGTGTACAAAGAACTCATAGCACTCAGCAAGAGGAAGACAAACAACCCAATTAAGAAATGGGCAAAGGACTTAAATAGACACTTCTCCAAAGAGGACATACAGATGGCCAAGAGACACATGAGAAAATGCTCAACGTCGCTAATCATCAGAGAGATGCAAATTAAAACCACAATGAGGTATCACTTCACACCTGTCAGAATGGCTCCATCAACAAATCAACAAACGACATGTGCTGGCGAGGGTGTGGAGAAAGGGGAACCCTAGTACACTGCTGGTGGGAATGCAGACTGGTGCAACCACTATGGAAAACAGTATGGAGGTTCCTCAAAAAATTAAAAATGGAGTTGCCGTTAGACCCAGTGATTCCACTCCTAGGAATGTATCCTAAGAATCCTGAAACATTCATCAGAAAGGATATATGTACCCCGATGTTCATAGCAGCACAGTTTACAATAGCTAAGATCTGGAAACAGCCCAAGTGCCCATCAGTAGATGTATAGATAAAAAATCTGTGGGACATTTACACCATGGAATACTATGCAGCTGTAAAGAAGAAGGATCTCGTACCCTTTGGGACAGTATGGATGGACCAGGAGAATATTATGCTAAGTGAAATAAGCCAGGCAGCGAAAGACAAATATCACATGATCTCGCTTATACGTGGAATCTAAAGAACTTAATAAACTGATGAACAGAATAGATTCAATGACATGGAAGCATAGATGAGACTGATGAATGTCAGAAGGATGGAGGAGGGCAGGTGGCTGGAGGGGTAGAGAGTAACCAAAGAATTTATATGCATATATGCACAACCCAAGGATATGGACAATGGTGGGGAGAGGGACTGGGGAGGGGGAAGGAATGCGGTGGAACGGGTCATTAGGGAGAAAAAGGGACATCTGTAATATTTTAAACAATAATAAAATTTTAAAAATAAAATGAATCAGAGAGAACACAAGGTCAGAATCTGCTTTGCTTACACTAGAGAGACCATGGAGATGAGTCAAACCCAGTGAAAGTGTGTCCTAGAGACACCGCAAGCATTCATTTGAATAAAATAAATACCCCATCTACAGATAACTGCATCTGTAATTCTACAACCGACTAACATTACCCAAGATTACCATTATATAACTTTCCTCAAATTATATTAGAGAAAAATGAAACATAGATTACTGAAAATACACTGAAATATATGTCAAGGCAGAAAAGAAAATGCATTTTCATGATGCTGTTATATAAATAGGTAAATTTTCCTTTTTGTGATTAGTGTAATGGCTTCTATTTCAACCATTTGAAAGAATAAAGGCCTTTCTCCAAGAATCAGAATGGCTACTTCTGCTGCCTCCCTTCTCTCTCATTAATCTTTTTCCCTTGAGATGCCCACGTAATTCCTTAGAAAGAGGGAAAGAGGGCACAGAAAGTGCCAGTAACTAGCAGGAAAAGGAAAGACAATATTCAAGGGAGGAACAAATAGAACTACATAGAATTTGAGGTTTGCTGAGAGAAAATTTGCCTTTTGGTTAATCATATATGAAATAAACTATATAACAGAAAATACTTACAAATATATCAAAATAAGAAGAGTAGAAGTCATACTGCACCACCTCCTTCTCTAAGGTGTTCTCAATGCCTCCATTCACCTAGGAGGGAGAGTAAAAAGTAAAAACAAAGAGACTGACGTGTGAAAGTAATACAAGAGAACATACAAGGTTTCATATACACTTTTCTGCCTATCTTCTCAGAATCCAGGAATTTTAAAATATAGAAGAATCCTCATACTTCTAATAGAAAAATGTTGAATAGCATTCCTCACTTAATTCTGAATTCAATGAACAAATATAAATGCATAATGGAAAACAATGCATTTTTTGTAGTTCATATTTTGGCAAACTAAAATTTTAAATAAATAAAAAGTCTTTGAACTTTATCTTAGAAGAGAAAAAAAAATTAGTCCAAACTTAAAATCCTAAAAACATATACTTTTAAAGAAGACAATTCACATTTATCCAGGGGCTCCCTCACTTTCTAATCACTCTCCACTGTTTTAGGTATTGGAAGTAGATTTGACAGAACTTACTTTTAGACTGCATGTGGGATGTGAGAAATACAAAACAAGCAAACCAGTCAAGGACGAGACTACATTTTTTGGCCTGAGCATCTGGGTATTGTTTACTGATGAAGAAAGGGAAAAGTAGGGGTGGGTATATATGTTGGGGGAAACCGTGTTAAGTTAGATGCCCATTGGACATGGCAGGTAGGTCATGATATAGCAAATTAATAATTTCTGGAAGATCACAAAACCATGTCTTCTAGTCTACTCCATAACCTGTAAGAACTCACTATTACAGTAAGTCCAACACTTCTAGATAGCTAAGAATTTTAATAGTCTAGAACCAGTTTACCTATGCAAGTTCATTTTCTATAGGCGCTTTCTAGCCGGGCTAGTATTTTCTCTGCCTCTTTCCCTGTACCCTACAACACACACACACACACACGCATAAGCATACATTCCTGCCTCAGTGCTTCTGCTCACCTTGATCTCCAAACCCTCTCCCTATTATTCCCACAATCCAATTCCAGTTCATCCTATCCCAAATCCCACCCATCCTGCCACACCCACCTCACAGTCTGTCTTCTTCCCTTACCCCTCAGATAATTCCAACCCACTGACCTCCCCCTAATGTGAATTTGTTATTGCAGGCCATCACAGTTTAACTATGGAACACAGTGACAGTGGGTAATAAAATCAGAATTAGAGGGTAATAAATAACTGAAACACAAATGTAACAATAGTGAGAGAATAATAACCATTTCCCTCTCTTTCAATGTTAAATTTATTTCAGTTAATATAAATTACGTAACATATAGCTGTGAAGAGTTTTATAACTACAAGGGGCTGCTGTATATATCTTTTCATTTGATCCTCACAGAAATTCAAAAGGAAGGCAAAGCAGGTATTAGTTCAGCTAACTGACTGAGAAATCAAGGTCCAGAGAACTTAATGGCTTGCCTTTTAAGGCCACAGCACTAGTTGTGATAGCACTAGGTCAAATTAGAAGCATTCTGACACTTTCTAGTATACCAGTCAGAAAATAAAATAGGCAATAAGCCCTGATAAAGGCCTTTTTTGAACCATAATCTCAACCAAAGTGTCAAAAGCTAAAAGAGAAAACAACTTCCCTTCTATTGCCTTTTGGATCCCTGTCCACATCAGTCTAAAGAGCCTAGGGTGTGGGTGGCAGTTTGGAGAGGAAATAGAGTCCTCAGGGAACTCAAGCCATGGTGAATTCCAGATCTAATTCAGGCAATCAGTTTACTCAGGGGTGTACTAGGTGGCCCTAGACAGAATCAGAACCATCCCTTCAACTGGCCCAAACATCTGCTGCCCTAAGGTCTTCCAGAAGAAAGTGAACTATGGTGGTAAAAGGCTTCTCTGGGCAACCCATCCCCGCACTCCAGGTTGGGCTGCTGCCCGTCAGCTCCCTAGAACAAGGAGGAAAAGTGGCTAAGTCAGAAGTCATATATGAAGGCAAAGTATTTTGGTATTGTTATGATTGCACAGAACAGTTGGGTCCCCATGTGCTTCTGAAGGTCTAAGCACCCTATATGGTATTTCTTATTTTAAAGACCAACACCACAGGCAATATGTGTATGTGTATATATATATATATATATANGGCTAAGTCAGAAGTCATATATGAAGGCAAAGTATTTTGGTATTGTTATGATTGCACAGAACAGTTGGGTCCCCATGTGCTTCTGAAGGTCTAAGCACCCTATATGGTATTTCTTATTTTAAAGACCAACACCACAGGCAATATGTGTATGTGTATATATATATATACACATCATCTCAGCTAAACTTTGTATCTCATGTAGTTTTTTGTGGAACTTGCAACACCTGAAAGCTTCTACCCTAGTACTTAGTAAATGTACAGACATTTCTTAAAAAGTAAATTTGAGTGATTAGAGATTTACAGAGAGACAACAAAAGAAAACAGATGGTACAGCATGTAGAGAAAAACCCAGGTCAGGATTGACAATTCAAAACAAACAGAACCAGAAATTGGATGTTTTAAAAAAACCTTGCTAAAAAAGTCATGTACTATGTTAAAGATCATATAATCTTCTGTGATCTTTTAATTTTATAACTGGAGAAACTGGAAGTCAGTGGAAAAATAAAGATAAAACCACATTTCTTAATTGCTAGGCCTGGCGACTGACTTTTCATTTGTAACACATTGCAGAGATGTAAACAGATTGCTTCTGATGAACAAGAACAGAATGCAGTCCACTTCACTTCCAGTTCAATTTTTTTGAACCAATAAAAAAAGGAGAGAAGTGAGAAGTGTGATCCTGTGAAGCCCACCAGAGCTCTGTCCATGGCGTCTCTCACTTCAAAGCATGTAGTGGTTTTAGTGGTAAATCAATGAATTCCTTGATTTTGTGCTGTCACTACAATAATTTTTTTTTAAATCCTCACTCGAGGATATGCGTATTGACTTTTTAGAGAGGAAGGGAGAGAAAGAGAGTTAGAAAAACAGTGATGTGAGAAACATCGATCGGTTATCTCCCACAAAACAATCCAACTGGGGAATGAACCCACAACCCAGGTATGTGTCCTGACAGGAACCGAACTGTCAACCTTTTGGTGTACAGGACAACTACGCCACCCGGCCAGGGCTATAATAATTTTTAAGTGTGCTCCCTTAAAACTGCTGCTATGCTTTTCTGTTAAAAGATGCATTTCTTTTTCATCTCGCATTATAAAGCTGTTAGTTTTAAAAATATGTTACTCCTTAAATATACATTAATTTAAATATTTTAATGTGTACATATGGAACACACAGTAAAGGGAGATGCTAAATTACTGTGTCATATCACTGGGTTGTTTGGTTTTAAACCAAAATAAGGCATATCTACAGTGCTAGATTAACAGAAGAAAAATATGTAAACAGAAACTTAACAGTAGATTCATGTTGTATATTACTGTGATTCTGAAACAAATCTTATTTTCTAATATAAGTACCTGCTTTCATTAAGAGTTTTGTTCTTCTATTATGATAAAATTAAATGAGTCCAATAACCCTAATTTCTAAGAGTCTAGAGTCTAGAACTAAAATTGCTGTTATGAATCAGAATATTAAAGTTTAGATTAGGATGTTGACTCTTTCTATAAAAAGGCAAAATCAAAAACCATTTTCAAACAACTATCTCAGCATCTTTTCATATTTTAATAAATTCCTTATAAAGCACCTAGCAAGGTGCCCAGCAAAGAGTAACCTCTTAATAATAAACAACAAATAACTACTACTACCTAGGACTTAGCAATATTTCTTGGAAATAGATGAACTATTGAAAAATAAAAGCAGCAGCCCTGGCCATGTGGCCCCGTTGCTTGGGCATCGTCCTATACGCCAAAAGGTGGCAGGCTCTATTTCTGGTCAGGGCACATACTTAGATTGAGGGTTTGATCCCCAGTCGGGGCAAGTACGGAAGGCAACTGATTGATGTTTCTCACATTGATTTTTTTCTCTCTCTCTCTCATCAATAAACATCTCCGCGGGCAAAAAAAAAAAATGAAAAGAAAATGAAGGGAGCAAACAACTTTTGCCTGGGAGGAAAGCATTTTGGAAGAGGTTACCTGTTACTATTGGTAAGAAACGTAAAAAATTAGAACCAAGGCTTTGGGAGAAAACAGATATGTTGGGTTAAATAAAATATATTATTGAAATAAATTTCACCTGTTTACTTTTACTTTTATTAAATAAATGTAGCAACTAGAGAACTTAAAATTACATATGAGGTTTGCATTGTATTTCTATTGGACAGTGCTGGTCTAGACCAGCGATTTTCAACTGGTGTGCTTCAAGAATTTTTAAAACATGCAATACGTGACTATTTAGTCAGGGGCACTGACCTCTTTTCCCTTAGACTGTAAAGAAAAAAAACTGACAACAGCCAACACAACAATAGCTGTCTTGTGTGAATGAATCAAAATTATACCTATTTTTTTTGTCACATCAGCAAAAAGCATAATATATTTTCTGGTGTGCCACAGAATTTTAGTAATTAGTTTCTGTGTGCCATGAGATAAAAAAAGGTTGAAAATCTCTGGTCTATATAACTGCATAAACCTGACAAAATATAGGCAAACCTCCAAATGATTCTAGAACATTTTTTGATAAAATATAAATTAATAATCTCTTTGCAAAAAAGTAGAGAAAATACATGCAAAATCGTAAGTACGGGAATTAGAAAAGTATATGCAGCATCTAAAACATATTCCAGAAGCATGCTACATTTTTTTGGAGCAAGGATCAGCAATCTTCTTCTGAAAAGGACCAGGGAATAGACATTTTTGCCTTTGTGGGACAGGACTCAGTCACAACTACTCAACCACTTAGCATAAAAACCAGCCACAGACTATATGTAAACAGATGGGCAGGGCTGTGTTCCAATAAAACTTTATTTATAAAAGTAGTCCAGCTGAATTTGACCCCCAGGCTATAGTGTGCCAATTCGTACTATAGAGCAAAACACCATGAATTCAAATTCCAAATCCCAGACAAAATGAGTTTTAAATTAACTAGGTTTGGTTTAAAGAATAACAGTAAAGAAAAAGAAATGTCTGATTCAGCTGGAGAAGACAAATATTGCCTCATTTGGAAAAAAAAATGAAATTCATTAACTAAGACAGAAATGATGAAAAAAATAAGCAAATTATGTTTTGTCTCTGGAAACAATTCTTATACAGTCATAGGAAAAACCACTTACATTTAACTCTATTATCCACAGTAATGTTACAAATAAGAGGTCAAAGGTGACAAACAAACAGAAAGTCCTCCTGACATCAGATATGCCTGTCTTTTCCCTTCCTTCATAGGACTCAATTCTGGCCATCAGTTGTGTAGGGTTGATGGAATGGACATCGCGCAAAGAAGCGTGAGAGCTCTGGCTCCCTGTGAGAGCATTCTCCATGTCTTCTGGCAGGGAGTTCATCCTGAAGGGGCGTTACAGGAGCCTTTTTCCAACTTCACCATCCCTAGAGAAAAGAGATCTTTGGGGAATAAAAGAGAGACACCATGTTAAATCAGAGCTCACCTACACCACAGCATTACCCCCACCTCCATACAACTGTTTCTCTAACTGAGCATCAGAGCGTCTTAACTGAAAACAGTTATGTCTTGAAGAAGGCATAAAGAGAAAGTGAAATGAGAAGCAATTCTTAATGTTAACAATTAATACTACAAAACAGCTATATGGAAAAGAATAGAGAAGAATGCAAACTTACAGAGGTAAAGGATAAAGATGTGATGTTAACCATAACTCATAACATAAAGGTGTGCCTGATAACCTGGAGAAGGCCTCTTGGTGAACAAACCAAGCCAGTTCTCGCACTGTGCCAAGAAAAAAACTTGTACAATTCTGTCATTACCCACAGACTAGACTAAAACATTAACTGAATAGCTTTCCAGAGAGCATGTAACCAGAACGTGTAAACAAGCTGTAAAAATTTTTGTCCTAAAGAGAAATTGCTTTCCTCCAAAGGTATCTAGTAAACCTTTGTATTTGGTATTTCCCCATCACCACTTAAGCATGTTTCTGGGCCTCTTCTTTAAAAAGAATAATGCACATTGCAAAAAGTTCAGCAACACATAAATGCCCCACTGATAATTGCAGTAGTTACACACTCCTATGTGGAGATGCAGAACTTCCTCCCCCCAAGGTTAGGATGAGCTTCTTCAGTAAAAGTAAAAGATTTAGTAATATAAATGATTTGATCTCCTCATGGATAAGGCAAAGTCATCAAATAGAAGGTATGGTGGATGGTATTTTTGTTTGCCAAATGTTCCAGTTCCTCTCCCTATAGTGCCTCTCACTGTGGGAGGATTATACTATATATCCTTGGCTCTACTAAATGCATATGCCTTTCTTTGGCCAACGTAATGTGGGCAGAAGTTTGTGTGTCATTTGAGTCCAAATCTTAAGAACAAGTGCATGGTTTATCATGCTCTCTTTTCTTTCTGCCACAATGACTAGCAATGTCAAGATAAAGAACATTTTCAAGATGGGGAAAATAAAATTTCAAAACACTGCTAGAATTCCCCTAAAGTAATATGATCCCATTTGGTACTATTTACAGTCCAGAACTCTGTCTCTTTACACTTGATTCTCACTTCCCTCCCTTCCTACACTCAGAAACAAAAGTCCATTCCACATTTTCATACAATGTGGTGATAAAATGAAATGACATTTTGAAAGCAGTTTGGTTATATGAACTAAGATACTTTAAAATGTTTATACTTCTTGATCTATTAACCCTACTTCTAGAAGTCTAAAGAAAATTAAATGTAGACCTTCAAGGCAAATTTTGATCTATGTCATTAGAGGTGGGGTTAATGATTACCACTGAGAAAGAGAGAGGGAAGAATGATGAGGGGCACAAGCTTGGTCAAGTTCTATTTCCTGGCCTGAGTAGAGCTAACGCAGCTATACTCACTTAGTAAAAATTTATTGACATAAGCAGTAGTTTCAATGGTGTGTTGACTTGTGAAAAATTCAAATGCGTTATACTTATGTACATGTACACATGCATAAACTGTGTTATCTTTCAATAAAACCGTCTGTCAAAAAATACTTTATCATAATGTATCTATAATAATCCCAAGTAGAAAGCTACCTAAATACCTAACAATAGGGGAATAATTAGATAAGTCATGGTATAATTACAGTACAGTCATTAAAATAAATACTTATAAAGCATTTATAATAACTTGGAAAATGTCTGTTATAATGACAACAGGATTAAAATCTGGATACTAAATGGAATACAAACATACACATACTATGACCACAACTTTGTAAAATAGCAAACATATTTTTAGAAGAATGCACCTATGAAATATATTTCAATACTGATTATTTCTACTTGATGAGATTATATTTTCCCCTCCTTTTACTTTTTCCATATTTTTAAAAAAATTCTTATTTTGCACATATTATATTTACAATAGGAGGAACTAAAATTCAAATGTAATACTGTTAGCATCCTGGACAGATGTCCCAGGACTTTATGAAGCTCTTCCCTCCCTTTTCAACCCATCTGGGCAACAGTAGACAACAGCATCTCAGTCATTCAATTTGCCTCCTCAGAGTCAGCAAATCAGCAAAGTACTTTGAAAAGCTCAATAGAAGCCCACTTCAGTGCTTTGTAAAAGAAAATATAAAGTTTCAAAAACTAAAATTATGTCTACACAATTTCTGACTCAATGAGATCAATACCAATATTGATAGAAGTACCAATGAGGAAGTACCAATATTCCCTAGAACATTTGCTCTTAAAATAAAGCTTGCAAAATACTACTTTTATCTGCCAGACTTTTAAAAGTTAATTCTGAAACAATAAGCAAAAATGAATGTAAACAATATGTTTTCTGTGATGAAATACACGTTTCAGAATGGAAAAGACAGTTGGGCTATTCTCTAAAACTGAACCTGGATGAATATAGACATATTTCTGCAAAAACACACGCTACATTAAGGAAAAGCAACTCAGGTAATTTTTAAACCAGTCTAATAATCTGTTAGCAACTATATTTAAAAATTAATTTAAATTCTTAAAGTCATTAAACTTTACAGAAAATTCAACAAAGTCATAATTTAAATTCAGGACTGTTTTAGGAAGAAAATAATTCCCAGAATAATTAGATCATTTTCTTAGTCTCATTCATTCCTCCTTCCCTGAGCCAACTTCTCATGAATAAAAAATAAAATGAAATTTTAAAAAAGCAAATCACTCACTCTAGGAATCTGAGGCCAATTCAAACTAAAATCTGACATCAGACAATGGTATACACCTGTCTTGGGAAATGAGAATCATTATATAATTTTTAACATGTTTGCATATAAGTACTAATTAGCTAGTATTTATAGGTGCATACCTTTAACAATAAAGTTACTCAAAGCACAGACTGCTCTGAGCAGCTTGACTCTAATCAGACTGATTTTCTCTCGGACAGAGAGAAATCTTAAAAGTGAGAGAAAGCTTCCTTTGAATGTGTAAAGAGGATACTTCCTAAAGTCCCTTTCTACTCTGCAACTATAGGACTTCATCCTAACCATGTAAGGCAGAAAGATTCAGTGCAAGGGTCAGTTCCTTCAGGAAGACTTCCCTAAAACACGCCCCACATTCCAATCCCCAGGCGGGGTCAAATGTACCTCCTCCAAGCTCCCTTAGGACTGTGGATATGCCACTTATGGTACTGCTTTCCACACTGTACCTTAATTATCCATTTACTTGCCAGTCTTCTCCTAGTAGCGGGCGTGCGCCCTGAAGGCCCTGAAATTTTTTTGAGAGAGACAGGCAGACAGAGAAATATCAATGTGAGAGAGGAACATGGATCAGTTGCCTCCCATATGTGCCCTGACCAGGGATCGCACCCACAACCTAGGTATATGCCCCAACTGGAAATAGAACCTGCAAGCTTTTGGTGTACTGGACGATGCTCCAACTGAGCACCTGGCCAGGTCTGAAGGCCCTGAATTTTGATTTATACATCCCTGGGCCCCAAGGACTACCACAGTACATAGCACACAGTATGAACAAAACAAATGTTGAATAAATTCTATCTACCAGACGTAACAGAGACTAGCACAGAGCAAAATCTCAAATTCTCTGCTGAACTGAGGCGACTACAACTGTTTGTTTCTGAGGAAGAACTCGGGTATTTACCCAGATACAATTTAAGAAGTATTAAATATTCAGTTCTTGGTACTGAGATCCTCTCTGGGGTTGGCTTAAGGAAAGCTATGCCTCTCTTAAGTATTGAATAGTTGTACATGAAGGAACCTAAATCTACAACTCAAGATTTATTCCAACCATAGGGAAAAGCATAGGGATGAGGAGTGGGGTCGAGGATTATAAAATAAAAACATTCCCTTATCATTTTCTCGGATTTCTGTGAGGAGATTGAGAATCCCCTTTTGTTGTTTTGGTTTTCGAAAATGAAATTCATGTAGTTACTGTTTTATCTAAATGGATAACTATCCTCTACCGTAGTATAATATTAGCCAGCTAGTTCAACAGTTATGTTGTAGTAACAAACTATCCCAAAATTCAATGACTTAAAACAATCTACATTTATTCTCAAGCTCACAGGCCAGCAGGCTGCCTTAAGTTCAGCTGATCCAGTCTGGGCTCAGCTGGGCAACTCTGCTACAGACTTGTGCTTAGAACTTGGCTTCAAACTGTGTTGGGTGGGTGGAAGGTCTAGGTCTTCCTACATCTGTCTTCTTTCTTGGATCAGAAATCCCAGGGGCATGTTCATTTCACAGCAATTGGCAAAAGCACATTAGAATAGCTAGACCATGTAAACACATTTAAAATCTCTGTATATACATCATCATGTCTGCCTACATTCTCTTGGCCAAAGTAGATCTCAAGTTCAAACCCAAAGGCCAATAGAGCTGGGCTGTATACTCCACCCAAAGAGGAAGAGTAGATAAGTGAATATTTGTTGATTAATAGTACAGCTATCAGTGTTCTAAATCAGGGGTTGACAAACTATAGCCTGCAGGTTAGACATGGCCTGCTGTTTTTGAATATGGAGTTTTATTAGAACACCACCACACCCACTCTTTTTGTCTATAGGTGTACGCTTTCACACTAAGATGGCAGAGATGAATTGCTGCAACAGAGACTATATGGTTAGCAAAGCCTAAAAAGTTTATTTTATTATCTGCATTTTTTTCTAGAAAGAGAGACTACTATTTTCATTAGCTTCTCAAAGGAGACCCAGATAAGACTGAGAGTTATTCACATTAGCAAAAATAGGCTAATTGACAAATAATAATTTGCATGCTCTTAATCTGTGATTAGCAAAAACTTGTAATTCATTCTTATTTTTCCACAGGTTGCTCTAGTGACTCATTACAGCTTAGGCACAGGTGGTCTTATCTTATGCTCGCTTATCTGAGGGCCACTTCAACTGTACTTACAGCATGAAACCTTATTTTCTTTACTTTATTCCATACTTCTAGAACTGGAGAAAAATTCCA